GAATTCAACATTAAACATATAATATTTTAACAAATGGATTTCTTAATCCAACTTATGTTACTAATATATTATGCCTCAATTATGAATTCATATGTATATGGTAATTTGTAAAAAAAAGATTGAAAATAATAAAGTTTAATGCACATGTTTAACTCTTGAAAGTATACCAGTATTTTTTTCCTGTGCTAATATTAAATACTAATAATTAATGCACAGTAATGTAATATTAACTGTCATTTTGCCTCACTGTATGTTGATAAACAAATATTTCTGCAAAGACACATGTATACACGTACAGACATGATAGTTTCCTGCATGTAGCAATAGATAAAATACCTGCACGCCTGTTATAGACGGATTAAATGTTTGTTGGTTTTTTAATGGAAAAAAAATTTCTAATAAGATACGGCAACATTAATTACCACTACAAATTAGTATTCAGTGCTAGAAAACAAGGACATGTAAATAAAAGCCCTCTGCAATTCAAAAGTTATTTACTTAACTAAAAGTGTTAAAAAATGGTGTGTTTAATACTCGGAATAGCCAAAAAATCCGTTAGACAAACATTGGTACGGAAAATGCACTATCGCATTGGCGTATACCTAAGTTTTCAAATAATGATAAGACTATTATAGTGGAGTGCTAAGTCACTTTTATAGAGTATCGTAAACACAAATCATTTTTAAATTTGGTTCCCCTCGTTACTGCCATAATGTAGTTTATAAATTGAATAAGCACAACACTGGTAGAACATTGTCTGTGTCTCTAATGAGATAAACAAATGCCCGATTTTGCGTCAAAAAAGCCGACGATATTAAGCCCCAAAACAAACACAGTTGCGAAATTGGATACACATTTATTTTTAATATGTGATTAATATGGTAATTCCATTCTTTAATAATCATTGCCTTGATCGACATAAAATTTTCTATGGCACAAATTTGATCACATCCGATTCACCGTTGAATATCTGACAATATCAAACCAGAAAAAAAAACTGTCTACTCTCTAATTTGACCAAAAGAACAACATTTTCAAAGCTCACTAAAATATACATTATGGCGAAATTAAACGCATCATTATTGTTAATGATTTGTATTAAATATTTTACATAAGTTCGATAATTTTTGAAATAACACCAACACAAACTTTTTTGCGTTTCAAATTTGTTATTAAACACTATCGATTTGACGTAAAAAATCCGACAGTATTAAACCAAAAAACATAATATTATATTGTAATGAAATGTTATATAATTGTTAATTAATATGGTACATATACTTGATAACCGTTGAGATCATACTGTGAAAAATTAGCCACTGCTAAAATCGAACCACGAATTCTGATTTATGCGCATATACCTACAACTTCAAAACTCATAATTCATAATATCAATAAAAAATACTTTACATACATTATGTGAATAATATTGTACATACATTTGATAGCTATTGAGATAACAGATTTACACAGTTGTCTGTGGCAATAATTTGATGAAACACTACCGACATTTACCTCAAAAAGCCGGCAATACATACCAAGCCCGAAAATAGAGTAAACAAAAATAATTACATTTTATTTTGAACGATATATAATTAATGCATACATTTAATAAACATTGAGCTACCATCTGTGCACAACTTTGCGCGTCTACAATTTGATCCCATGCAATATTTTATGACAAAACAAAACAAAAATTTAAAACAATAAATCAACATTATAGCGAAATGAAATACTTCATTATGATGAACAGTATGTCATGATTATGATATATATAATCGATAATCTTGAGATAACACTGGCAATAAATTGTTTACGTCTCAAAGCATATAAAAAATGTCCGACTTTGTGTAACAAAATTGACAATTTTAAACCTGAAATTATACATCGCAGCGAAAATAAATACCTTTTTTAATGATATGTGACATAATGATTATCATTGTGATAACAGCAACACAAACTTGTCTGTTGCTCAAATCTAATCAAATACTGCTGATTTTGAGTCAATATTCGGATAGTATGAAACCCGAATAAATACACAGTAGCAATAATCAAATATATCATTAAGTTGAACTATGTGTGATCAATCTGGTAAATACAATTGATAACTATTCAGATAACACGGAAGAGATTTATTTCTACTGCCAAGATTTGACAAAAATGTCGGATATTCGAATATTATTTTGAATGATATGTTATTAATATGTTACATATATTTTGATAACGTTTGAGATAACACTAGAACATAAATAAACATCGTACACAATATGTTGAACTATATATATATGATTAATTTGGTACATACATTCGATAACTATTGATAACACTGGCATAAAATTGTCTCCGGCTCACATTTCAAACAGATCAAATGTTGCGTCAAAGCGCCGACAATATATAAATCGTAGCAAATATAAATACTTCAATAAATTTAACGACTTGTGATTGTTACATAGTGCGAAATTAAATACAAGATATTTTAACGAAATGAATCACAGCTGATACCGTGCTATGAACAAGGGTATGTTATTAGGTTTCTTTACAAATAAACACCGCGCTAAATGAATTTTACTGAAATCTACTAGCGTCATCATTATCATTTATATAACAGGAAATATAACTGGTCATTATTATTCATGTATTCAAAAGTAAGTCATCACAACACAGAAACCCGCTTCTATACTAGAATGGCATGCGGTTTATGAACATGTGGCCACTTTGTAACACCGCTGTTATAACACCTTGCCCTTACTATAATGAGACACGTAATCGAAAATATATATCCAAAAATCCACAAAACAACTACGCATGTCCCGAAAAGTATACATATTTGATAGTTATGGAGCAAATACGTATGTTTGTGATGAATATAATTATCCTTGCATTGGTTTGAAATGAACGATTGTATGATTATTCAAATTAGTGACCATGAATGGAATGTACTAGTAATCTACATAATTAGTTAGGTGACTTAGATAAATATGAGGATGTCCTATTCCACATTTACTTCAAACCTGACGTCACCGGCTACACGAGGCAAGTACTTGAATTTTCTCATGATTGCATTTTCACTGTATATGTGTTATGATATTATATGTACTATGACAGCAGGAGCTTTTCAGCTGATCGACATTGATAATATAATCGTTGTACTCATTGGAAACTAAAAGAAAAGTTGTCTGTAATTGAATTGCTATGTGTATTATATAGTCGGGTTATTGAATAGAGGACGATGATACATGCAAACTAGGATCGTGTAAATGGTTCATAATGTTTTACTCATAGTCATACTGTAACAGTAGACCGATGACATGATTCTTCTGTGTCTTCCGAGTGTTAATATTCAATTTGATGTCTGATAACATCAAGTAAATCCAGTCTAATTTGTTGAGTGATGTTCTTATTTCAATTTCTGATTTACCAAATGTCAATCTAAATAGTTCTAAAACGTCTCTAATAATAGTACTGTAAACATCTACCCTACTTATCCTGTCTTCCGGACTTACATAATAAAGTCCGTCAAATTTCAGGGACATTGACACCCACGGCCTTGTCGGTTTCCGCGGGACAACTGACGTATGTCTTATTGCATGATTGAATGAATGAAGGCAAGTTTAACCATTCTTCAATTTTGGATTGTCGGATAAAATCCAACAATAGAAAGACGTCGTGCTTTTTTTTGAAAGGTCGTGCGCGTATTGTGAGAATCCAAGGAATGGCAAACTGTGTATTAATTTTACTATGGTACACTTAGTAGTTCTTTACGACAATTTCGCATTTTCGACTTCAATTCAATGCGTATGATATTCCGTTTTAGGACATTATTAAGTTTGTTAATGATGTGGTTATGTTTCTGACGCTTGTTTATGGTCAAGGAGGTAAACTTTTTCTTGTTTGCAGTAATCGGAAAAGCTATTTCGTATAATTATGGTGTTTTCCATAAGACAGTGAATAGATTGACAAAGTTATATACGATGTGTTTTACTCTTGTTTGTCATCTCTAGCAAACTCTAGATACTATAGTAAGAATGGGTTTATGGGAGTAAGACACTTTAGGTAGTGAGGTGTTTATGTATGAAATACGATAACTGATAACCATAGAGAACTCTGTCAACCCTGTGTTTTGTTTCAAAATTGGGAATGCTTTGATTAACCATCAATATAACAGTGTGTACATCTTTGGTTTCTGTGTTGTTGTGTGTAGTTAGTGTTATATATTTCACTTACGCGTTGACGTGACAGTTTGGTGCGCACTGCTCAAAAAATCGAACTGACGAATACTTCTTTACCATAAAATTTTATGAGTTGAACAAAAAATCAATTAGCTTTTTAAATGGTATATTTTTCACGTTAATAACTATATTTCAGGAGCGTTTTTTAAACGTTATTCAAATTGATCTGAATGGAAAAATGACGTGTTGTGACATGTACGTTACCCTACAAATATAATTCGTTATTAACAAAAAACTGCAAAGTACAAAACTGCAAACGACCAATATCGCCACTTATGTTGTTGGGCGCAATATATGTAGATGACTTTTAAATTATTCATGCCTTCTCATTGGGCACATTCAAGTAATTATGATATACTTTCTGTGTATTGATATATCACTATGATAGTGAGATTATTTGAAGGGGAAATTTATTTTGTTCAAACAAAGTAAAACAAGGCGAAAAAATACAATCCTCATCCAGGCGTGACCGGAACTCGACATATGACTTTCACGTCATGTGTGTGTTCAAACAAGAGTGGACTGTCATATTAAATGAAATAGCAGAGCGTGACAGAACTCACCACTCGTCCGCACATAAGAGTAAAAACATGTTCCACACAGTAACAGATAATGTGTGATGCCACAATCGTTTTATTATAAATGTATTTATAAACATTATCATTACAAAATACCGATTCGGAAATAAACATGTTAACGAACATGATAACTATATACCAGCTGTTCACCAAAAGGCTCGGTTATATTTTCTCTGTGTTCATTTCTAGTTCCAGAATGTGGAAGTACGTTATCTTCTTCAGCACTGCATCTATCTTTGTTTGCCATGCCAAGACACTGAGTAATGTAGACAAGGCAAGTAGCATGTCATGATCTTTCATGTTATGAGTTCACTCCAGCAACATGAAGTTATTACGCTAAAACAATATTTTTCTTCTGGTGTTTTATCTTTCCAATATTTTCTCATAAACCAGAAACAAACTTGAGAGGATAACGCGATAACCAGAACATATAAACGTGCTTTGCAAAGTAGAGATATTTAGTGGAAACTGTGAAGGAAAATGCCTAACGAATCGGTTGTTTTATGCATTTAATCAGCAATTGAAGTATCGGTATAAAACAATCAATGTTGACGTCGTCGTCATTTAACGTCATTTTTCAATATGTCCGTCCCTGATGAGTCACAACCCTTGTTAAGTCGCATTTCCTACTTGGACCCTAATACCCGTGACGTAGCGAGGGGTCACCGTATTCATTGAAATTTGAGGAATGTTTTGTTTGTTTGCAAATTTCCACATACAGCTGCCGTTAGATATACGAAAAGGTTATTGTCACAGTCCCACTTTTCGTTTAGGGGAGAGTTCCTCTTTTCCCAAATTATGAAATACAGATTTTTTTTAGGAAATTACAATCTGAACAAATCGATCAGTAACAAAGGAAACAATTGTAATCCATGGATGAATGTCTGGAGAATGTTTCGAAGTCAATTCGGAGTGAATGACACATTCATTCTGGCTTATATTCAAATCATTGTTTTTATAATGTCACATGACAAAACCCTTACTGACTGAAATGTAATTATTAGTTAATCAATGACAGCTTATTAACTGGTCGTTGACGTCAGTGAAATTATGATAATTTATCCAAGATAGTTTGAGAGATGTATATCTCTTTGAAAGCTAGAACGGTTACGGAATATATTATTTCAGTTGACTAGCAACCCGCTCCAAGCAAAATATCAAACGATTCTTGTTGAATGTTGCTTTATTGCACTATTGTAAAGCATAAATTCCTAAGTAAGGGGCTCTGTTTCATGTCAGACAGTGGCTTTCAAAAAAAAAACAAGAGTTGCAAGGCTGTACATAAATAATAACAAAATATTATTTAGATGTGAAATATGAAGCCGGAATTTCCATTTAATTTACTTATAAAGTAGTCATTGTTCTGTTTACATGATAGTTGTAAAACATATTTGTATTTGTAAATAACTATGGAAATTATCCATTTTCTCAACTTTTTTGACGTACATTTTTGTTATTCATGAAACTTACACACTATATTGTTGTCTCATTTATCCATACTATCCATACTATATTTGTCTGGTATTATTACGTTACGTCTGGTATTAGTACGTTGTTTGCCCCTCTAGCAATATTTCAAACAACGTGTTGACCACATAATTAAACCTATATAAAACAACGTGGACGCTCTTTCGCATGTCAAAATATAAAAAAAGTATAGCTATATAGTAACCCGCAAACCTGCATAGTTAAGAAAAAAGTTGTTTGCATTTTTATTGGCCCATCTTCGGTGATATAAATTATGTATTTATTCATCGTATGCGAACAAACATAAATACTAGCACATAGACCCTCCCTATGTGATTTTGTGAGGAACCTGGACCAACCTTTATTACAATCTTGTGCTCAGTTCACCTATTACAAGCATAATAATACGATGACGGTTGTTAACTATGATTTAATTTATATCCGAGAGTTTCTTTGCTAAATATATATTAGCCGCCGAGATTTATTACAAATCTTGCTTATATATGTAATTGATGTGCAGGTTGAGCGACCAGAGGAGCTGGAAAGTGAAGGTACTTTTGAATCTGATATGAAGTTAACGTTAGAGCAGCGTACTCAAATTGAGAAACAGATAGAAGCACAAACAAACCGATTGGAAACAAGAAAAGCTCATGCTGACCTGTCTACACGTTGGGAAGATGGTATTGTGCCTTATAGAATCGAGCCCGAAAGTAAGTTCACTGTACTATTTTTTTTTTTTTGTACGCGATATACATGTTTTTTTTTTCTCATTCACGTCAGTGTATATTTAAATAATAACACATGTTTGTGAGGTTAATATCGCGATTTGTTGCCCACTCAAGGTGTGGTGACCAACAGCTCAGGGCAACAAATTGTGATATTGCCCCAATCAACATGTGTTATTTATTTTATCACATCGAACAGACATCCACCATGCGCAACTACATCTAACATACACCTATCACACCCGCTCTCGCACAAAATAACAACACTTATATTTGAAGTACACAATGTTTTATTTTATGTATTACAATGACACATTATACAATAGCATACGTACATACATGCTGAAAATAAAAACTGCGAAACACACGGTAACTATTTTTTGTACCTGTGTGTCAGCAATGGGTGTCCAATTTTTGAAATGAATTTAAAACATCTTTTTTTCCACTCGCCATTTTCTCACGAACGTGCCATACATTTACATACATTTACCATTTACAACAAATCACAAGTCGCGTAGAAATGCTCACAGTGGAGAACGCTCAACAGCGATCCCGGATCGGACGTTTCAATCGGCGTTATCGTACTTATTTGCTTCATATAAAGAATACCCTTAACATCAAAACAGAGTATCTTACTTAATATCCACTTTGGATGGCTAAATTTCCTCAAAATGCTTGAAAGCAGCCCCGAAAGTAACAGTGACCGGGACAGCGCCAGTGTAGCGAACGACAATATGTAGTATTGTCGCGCTGTAGTTTCAGTGCGATATCCATGCGATATATCATGTAATACCCATTTGTATTTGTTCAAAGTCATGTGACTGAGACTCAACAAATCACATCATGCGTAACAACAGTTAGATGTGATTATCACGATTAATGTCTTTACAGGTGCAGGCGACACTGACGTAATACTATCAGCAATTGAACACTGGGAGAGCAAAACTAGTCTTAGATTTCCACAATATAATGCCGATGAACATACATCTTTCATAAGCTTCACAAAGCAGGACGGGTAAAGTTATTATGTAATTTTCATGCTTTCCCCCGTGCCCAATTTATCTTAAATATAGGGAAATAACGTGAATATAGCATTGTATAAATAAAACCAATATAATTGTATTATTTATATATGCAGTATATGAATGCTACTGTATCCCAGGCACATTACTATATACTGTTATATTATTGAATATCACCGATGACAGTGACAAAAAAATATTTGACTTTAGATTTAGTTTCTAAACATGTGATATTGGTGTATAAGGGAATGGTGTAAGTGTTATGTAAAACAGTATGTTTAGATACTATAGATACTTTCCCTGGGTAATTGATGACTAGTGGGGGGATGTTGATTTCCGGCCCACCTGGTGTTCTTCCCGATCACATAAGCACACTGAAGTAAAACGCATGATTTGTGCATATATTAAATGAGGCGAACACATGCAACGTTTTCATGGTGTTTCAACTGAACATTAAATTGTCATGTAGGTAATTGAAAGACTCAGTGACTATCACGCAAAAGTAGATGAGTGAAACTGCCGATTTTATGGTGTGCGATAATACTACTTGGTACGAGAACCGATATATTGTCGATATATTGTTTTTCACTCTTGCAATCTTTCATAAATATATGTGTTGTTTAATGTAATAGATGTTGGTCATATGTTGGTCATGTCTTTACTGGAGCCCAGGAAATTTCTATTGGAAACGGATGTGCATACGTAAGTAATTAGCTCATTACGAACAGCTAGAATCACAATCGGAGCCCTGTGGAACCTAGCTGTGTCTGGAAATACAGAAATGGCAAATATTGTTGAATAATGCAAAATAATGTTTTACGAAGATTGATATATTATGCTAAAAAGTACTAGTATCATTTCTTGGTCATTTTCTGTACTCTGTTTGCTGGATATTATGTTGTTCTTTCAGATGGGTACTATTGCGCACGAAATAGGTCATGCAATAGGTTTCTTTCACGAGCAAAGTCGCCCGGACAGAGACGAGTATGTTGTTATAAACGAGGAGAATATCATACCCGGTTATGAGCGTAACTTTCAGAAATACGACACGGGAACTATTAATACGTACCAAGTGCCATACGACATTGGATCTCTGATGCATTATGGTGCGACAGTGAGTACATGTTCTGAGATTGATTTAAACTTCTTTTTTTTAAAACTTTGTGCCAATTTCAGATAATATTTCTGAAATATTAATTATTAAGTTGACCGCCTTTCTGAATTACATGTTATACTTGTCTTTATCCATTTAATGTGTTTAGTATTTCACCTCCAATGGCCTGAACACAATAGACGCAGTTAATCCAGACGACCAAGGACTCATGGGCCAACGTACTGGTCTTAGCGCCGCTGATATTCTGTTGGCTAATACCATGTATGCCAGTCCAGGAGGTAGTTATTATTTTTGTTTCCAACACTAAAAATTTCATCAGAGAAAGTATATACAAAATGTATTCATTGATGCCCGAGGTTGATGGTTCCATATCATGGGAAAATCGGCATCTATATATATTGGGTCTTACATACATAAACTGTAGGATAATCTTCTTGTACATAACATTTTGATTGTCACACCGAGTTTGACTGCTATAGTTCAGTGTCCAAACATTATTCCTTGTCCACGCAATGCTACTAGTTCGGTGTCGCAGCTACAGCAAGAACCCTCTTCAAATGGAACTATGTGAAGATGGTTTGCATGTTTTTACACACTGACCACAAATGATATCAACAAATATTGTCACACATTTTCATAAAATAATATATTTCATCATAGAGGTGTCTGATCAGTTATTCAATAAAGGTCGAATTCTAATTAGACAGATAGATATTCGTGTGTATTGTCACAAAATGAGGTCAGTTTCAAATGAAATATACATAGTATCTCCCATATGATATCAATATTAAACAAACTATATTTTGACAAACATTTGTATAAGGAGTAAAGTGGGCCAAGAACATTTTAATTTGTCAAAAATATATGCAAATCAGAACTTTCAAATTATGACATATTTAATGACGTTCTTATTACAGTTTCAGGCGATCCCCACCTGAGGACATTTGATGGTCGCCCATATTCTTTCCAAGGTGTATGCTGGTACACTCTATTCAAAGACTGCTCCTCTGATAAACCCGAGTTTGAAGTCACTGTTAAATTTGAGCCAAGGAATGACAGCACTATCGAGCACATCAGAACAAGAGTAGTTTCTTTCAATGTTACCGTAGGGATGGAATATGCTACTGTTAATGGAATGGACGTGCTGACAGTAAGTCGCAGTAACGTGTCATTGACAGGGTATTACCTATAAAGGGCGATTTTCTTTCCCCGATTTCATTCGTCGGGATGTACCGGGTATTCTTTGCACAACACTGTCATCGATTGCAGATATTTCTCAGCTCAATGCCAATAATATATGCTCTCTACCTCGTAGAACAATGCTGAATAGTTGTCGAGACTTATATTAATTCTCTGAAGTAAATTAGTGTCTTTGTGGTAGACTGATACACTAGGCTACTTTCAGCTAATACAATATTCACCACTGCCCGTAACCTCCATCAAATCACCAAAGGCTGTTGATTACCAATACGTCTCTAACAGTCGATAGAACTATGCTATAATTCTGTCTCATAGTCACAACTGATTCTCGATTACTACGATCAATTGGTTCCCTGCCAACTAATAGTGACTGATGTGTGGCGGGTTTCATTTGACTGTTTTTAGACTGACAGGTTTCATTGCTGAAAGTTTCGAAGTTTCTCATCATGACGTCATCATGGACATGTCATAGGCTGGTCGACGACATTATGGAATATTCCTAAAAACATTATGTAATATACTAAAAATATATGTCTCAAATGGTATAGGTATACTAACCCCTTGCACAATACATACGTCTAATAAATAAAGTATCTGGTCGAAAATAAAGAAAATATTTTCATATTATTATCCATACAACTTATTTCAAAATGTTCTAACATGCATTGTGTTATCACAGGGAAATAAAGGTCGTGTTACTATGGCTAGAGCAATCCGCATTCAAGAGGCAAAGAACATGATTACATTAGAATTCACATCCAATAATACAACATTCACCTTGATATGGGCTCTGAGGAAACACGTCTTAAATGTATCTGTACAAGGCTCTGCATACGATGGACGTCTATGTGGTTTGATGGGTAACGCCGATGGTGACACCCATAATGACTTTCAAACCCCCGATGGCGCTGCTGTGCTTGACGCTATTGCGTTCGGAGAAAGCTGGAGAGTGACAGGCCAAAGGTATGTACTTTTTAAATTGACCATTGCAAACAAAGCGTAATGCCACACGGCATTATGAACCAACTTTGCTTCACTGTTACAATGGTTTTTTATTAATATTTTTGATGAGTACATATAAAAGCCACACTGTAAACAATTGAACACACTAAATAACGTGTGTGGAATAATTATTTTATTAAAAAATGGTTGGTGTTAAGGACTGCAAAAACGATGCAGATTATTATACATAACTTGAAGAAAATATGTCATTCGAAAATAGTAAATTGTATTATAATTCATTACAAATTATCCATATATTTCTTGACACTTTAAATGAACATAGAACATATGAAAAACGCAGGAATAGTTCTGTCGAGTTATTGTTTATCAAAACAAATACACCATAATTTTGAAAAATTTATCAATGTATTTTTCAGATGCGAGTAATGTCAGAAGATCGGGATATGCCTAATATGGATTTCGGAATATAGATAAAGTCCAGAAAAAAAAGGGTTATTAATTGGAATATATTACTTCCATATTGGTGGAGGTTTGCCTTTGTCGGTGGTCGTATAGAATTATTTTAGAATGGTAGTAAATAAATGCATATTAATGGAATAAACAATTTCATTAACGAAAAGACCAATTGTGTGCGTGTTATTTTTTATATTGATGCAATTTGCATATCCAAACTCAAGTGAATGTCCCCAGTATTGTGTCTGCATGTCAGCTTATTCGTTATAGCATTACCCACTTCCACTACTTCTAACAATGCTTCATGGCGGATATTAAGGTGCTTTACGATTTTATGAAAATGAAGCATATCTTGAACATGTTAGATTACAATGTATTTGTAATCCAATCCATGAACTTAATATCTTGGTTTTACACAAATACGTGTTCAGGTTATATTACATATATTCAATCTAATTGTGACATGATACGTATGGTCACTTACTGGAGAGTATTTGTAAAATATGTTGAAATAGCTACCAGCAATTTTAGCGAATTTGACTCTATGGAAGATTTGAAAGAATCTTAATTTAGCTAAATTTCCAAAAATTCCCTTGTGAGAATAAACTTTATATTAAATCGGGAGATTAGACCGTCACCTGTGCACACGCGAGAATAGAGTCCCAAGCGACGCAAAGGCTCGTGGGTAGACGCTTGTTTGTAAACAATGACACGCTATGGCTATCTGACGCATGCGCAGGTGACGACTTCCCAGCTTTATATACAGCTTACAGCTCATATGTTGTACGTATACATTATAGCTACGTAATACGTTTTGGTTTGTTTTGCCTCACGTTCACATTGGTTGTATCATTATGATTTTTATTTTCTGTGATCGAAATAGTTTAAATGGGGAAATTTAAATATAATAGTATTTTATTTATTCTCTGCATATTTCTGGATAATGACTTATTTAACACGTGTCAAACAATAGACAATATAACAATGTAAAACAATGGGAAAAAATTATGACAGCTCCCACGCATGTTATATGAGAAATAAACCAAGAAATAATATTGAGGGCGTACATATTTTGAGTAACTTCCTCTCAAATCGAGTGACAATTTATTGAATGTAAGCAGGACAACAAACTGCAAACATATGCTGCATTGAATCTAAACAATATAAAACTAATTAATATAAAAAAATATTAATTTTATGAGAAACATGGGCCACAGCTGCTGCTTAGCTCAGCCCAGAACATGTAGTGAGTCTTTTGAATGAGTTCCTTTCAGCCAAATAATACTTTTCTTCTGCTGATCTAGCCTGGAACCTACAATTTGAAAGGCCATTTCTGAATGTAGTCAATATTATAGTTCGCTTCTCGGCAGAGCATGCATATGTCCCAGTCCATTTGTTTCACACTATTACGATGTATTTCATCTTATGTCTTCGGTGTTGTGTCATGAATTAGTTTTCGCGTATTATTTAGCTGATTACTAGTGAATGGCTGTGTTATATCTGTCATCATTTAGGCTCATGCGAGGTCCTGGACGGAACTTGACTCAGTGATTTGGAACTACGATATAACCGTTGCCATCCGGACCGCTATATCTGACAGTTGGGTATTCGCAGTTAGTAATATAGTGAATGATTAATCAAAAGATATGACGTGTCCAGTACTTAGTGTGATTGGCTGTATGATTGACGGCCACACCTTAGAGTATTTTAACTTTTCTGTAATTGGTTAAGTTTTGATAGGTAATAAACAGTCTAAGTCATTGGTCACGGAGAGAGAGAGAAATAATCCATGAGGCGAGAGAGTCTTGGTCAGTGCTGGGGAGAGACCCCGAGGAGGCAGTTTGCCTCGAGGCGTTCTCAGTGTGGCTTAAGACTAACATTTGAATCATATTTCGTTGTGTGCGTCTATTTGACTGTAAAGCTTAAGCGAATTTTCCGGTCCGGTACCTCAAGCAGACGATATATAGAGACAGACGAGAATTCCCCCTGACACGTGTTCGAGAACCCCAGAGGAGAAGAATTTCCCCCTCAAAGTTGATGCGTGTCGCTGGATGACATTAAACACATTATTTGGTTTCATCTGTGTATTGCAGTTGTGACTGGATTTCCGACACTCAGGGTATGTGAAAATGGCGTGCAGAATGCATCTGGAATCAACGTTTAGTGACAGACGGCACTGTGAACAATTATCCTTTGTTCAAAATGGATTCTATACCTCATAAATATCGAGAAAGGAAGACGAAAGTTATAGAGGATTTCTGTGAAGAGTCGATCAATGGGAAGTCACTCAGCCATTCAAAGTACAATTCATTGGTGTCTGCAACTGTTCTTCCGACATTAACTATGAACACTCGCCGTTGAATTACTTACTTTTTTTCTTGAGAAGCTCTTTGAAATAGTTACGAGTCACAAGCTGGATTTAGAAAAAGATACTCGATACATTTATTACAATTTTTATTCTAAAATCAATAGTACAAAATTACATTACAAAAAAAACGTGGCAAATTCTACTGTGGATGGTGTGGTATGTTCACATTAAAGGGGTATAAAAGGGAAAAAAATAACATTTCAAATCTTGTGTCCACACTGCTGCTAGATTCCATTGCATACATTAATTGTCACATTTGCCTCCAAGCAGGCTGTATGTTAAACCATTTTTTGTTCTTGATAAACGAATTGTCAGTGGTATCCAGCCCTCCCCGGATCTCTTTGAACACTTCTGACGATTTGTGGATATGTTTTATGGCAGGTAGAACAAATTCAAGATCGTTAAATTTGGTAGTCATTCGTCTCAAACAGAAAGATGGTTATTATATGAAAGTAAACTCGTAAACGTAACTTCACATTATAAATACTATGGAGTAATCTTGCTGACTTCCGTGGCCATCAACGAGCGTTCCATAGTGCAGCAATCATGGAAGACTTTGTTTGCGGTCATGAGAACTATTAATGAAACGGGCCTTTGAACTTAGGCCTTTTCTTTAAACTTAATTATCCTTTACGGCTCTGAAACATAGGTTTCCAGACAGTATGAATTTCTAGAGCGTATCAATTGTCAAGCGTCGAGGCATTTCCTCGGTATGATCAGATCACCAAACTATTTGGTACACAAATAGAAATATAGGAATCACAAATTCATAACTTCACTATACATGTAAAACCCTGGGAAAGCTAACAACATTAAACACACTTATATCAAGCCAATGAGTAGTACTGAACTTTGGAAATGAACAAAATTGTATTTAATAATATCTGATGCGAAAACTCGTTTTCTGGTGTACAGTTTTTAGTGGGAATCTATTTAGGAAATGTAAGATTTGTGCCGTAAAGGGTTACCTCAACACATAGTGCTGATCAAGAGCAGCATGAATTAATTAAACTTAATTAAACACCTGTACTGGACAAAAATTAGTAACTAAAACTACTGACAAACTCTGTTTTATGCCTACATTATGAACTAACAAAATTGGCCGAAAGGTTGTCACACTGATTAAAACTGGGTGAAATATTAAAACAATAACTAAAAATGGCCTAAATGTCAGTGGAGCATATGTCATAAAACTGTGAGCAAGTTTGTCATAATGTATCAGTACGTTGGAAGTTGTGGTCAACTCTTAAATAATATCCGTAACAAAACCAGTATACTCCTAACACGATTAGAAAACAAAAAGGAAACAGCCTTTTAGACACTTCGTCAACTCTGCCTCGTTCCCGTGTTATGTTTGTGCCGTGTGCAAATTCCTTCGTCTCACTGCGAGACATGACATGCGCCCCTCGGTTGAATAGTTTCGTATTCGCAGTACGGCGATTTGTGATTGTAGTGCGCGATTCAGAACGACGAAAAGCCGATCCCATGTAAAAAACATTGTCGGTGCACATTGACTGAAAATAATCAGAAATTTATTAAGCAAATATATGCATATCAATATATATATATATATATATATATATATATATATATATATATATATATATATATATATATATATATATATATATATATATATATATATATATATATATATAAAACATCACAATTGTTGTTGTTTTTTTTGG